TACATCGTTTTTAATATCCACCAGCCCTCTTCCAAACATGGATATAAAGGGAGTATCCCATCAGTGTCAGTTTACTTCACAACTCTGATATTTGCACCTGCAGACTGAGACCCTGGACGGTTCAAGCCCACAGCAGAAAGACCCTTTATTATGTGTTTCCAGTGAGCTGCCTCCAACATGAAGGGTGCTTCATAGATAAAATTGATTGAATGATTGATTAATTGAAATAAAACAAAGTTTTGATATAACAATGTTTATCAGTCTCTCATCATATTGAGCAACTATTTTAACCCACTCTTCATCACATCGTTTCCCCGTTCTTCTACAGGTGGAGACTCATTTTCATCATTCCAGTTAAACTGGGAATGTCTGAGAGACACGAGAAACCAAATCAACACCTTTCAAAGGTTTTAAACTCAGAAGCCCAAATGTTTTTATGTTTGACATATAAACTAATCTCCATCTTATTTTCACATCAAAATGAAGGCGCCCCTACAGTTACATAGTCTCCTTGAAATATTTTCAACCGGTCATGAAATCCTGGCTGGAGGACAAAAAAGCAGACAGCAATATGCAATGTTTCAGTCAAATCCTGTTAATAATCTAAAATTAATCTTGTCCAAACACAATCTGGAGATAATGTTTGTTTTTTGCTCTTTTCACAGCTTCACCAGGTTACCACAGTTCACTTTATGCTGGGACAGGTCAGACTTGCTGCTGCACATCTTTTAACGGGTACAAGAAAACGTAAACACATCTTACTGGTTCTCGCTGCCAGTACACTAAAGAATTTAGTTTAGTTTTGCTTTCCCTTACCTCTCTGAATTGCTCCATCCTTATGTCTAACAAAAAGACCATTGTCTTTTAGTTTTCCCAATATGTAGCTTGAAGCTCAGAGGAGACGTGGCCTTTTCTGTTCTCACTTCAAAGTTGAGGAACAAGTTGCCATTGAAAACTAGACAAACTTCTTCTGACAATATTTTCTACGTCTCTCTTAAAAACACACTTGTTTACAGTGGCTTACGACAAAAAGTGAGTTAGTTGGTTGATTTCAGTTTTATTTTTCAGTAGTCTTTTATGTTGTTAAATATTTTTTCCACAATTATTCAATCAAAAGAAAAATCATGTCAAATTAAAAAAAATAAAATAGTGGTCAAACTTTTGAATTTCCAAAGACATTTTTGTTTCAAACAAAAAAAAAACTTATCTCAATCAAAAAAAAAAAAAAACTGTGGTTGAAACTTTTTAAATTCTACAATTTTAACTTCATACACAAGGAAACCACATTGCAGCCGTCCAGATTACAGATACGTGAATCTGTTGCTTTATATATTTTAGACATTTGCTGCGACAGCAGACGCAGTCTTTGGCTTATTAACCTTGAATGATGCACATCCCTTTCCAAGCTGTGACAGGGTGATTTAGGGCCGCATTGGTGTAAATGATTTAGATGGATTACAGTCTGGGATGCCTGGGCTCTGTTTAAACATTTGTCTTTGCTCTGAGGACAGAGGAATGCAGCGCGCGTTGTGTGATCAAAACCCAACGTCTAACGGCGACATTTCCAGCACAGCAACAACGTCAGCAGAGCTATTTCTATGCCTGCCGACAACTTCTTACAGCTTACTCTCACTTCCCATAAAGGTCTTTATTGCTTACACATATTTTCAACTGCAAATTTTACTTTATTCTGTTGGGGTTTTAAGTGACAGACCAGCAGAAAGTAGTGTGTCGTTGGGGAAGTGGACAGAAAACGTGTCGGATTCAGTTTTGTTTTGAAGTGCATAGATGCAAGATTACCCTGAAGCTGTGATGTTGTCCTTCCTCTGTATAAATATGGGAACAAAAAGTGAAAACCATAATTATTCCTTCCGAGTGTTGGTCTGTCACATAAAATCCCAATAAAACAAAGCAGTAATGTGACAGAACACAGTAACGAATACGACTTCATTGATTTCCATTTGTTAACAAGCTACTTCAACCAAAACGTTAATAGCAGACAGAATTTATTTTAAAAAGTGATCATTTAAATATGACAAAAATGTAATTAATACATTAAATGAGTGGAAATATGTTGAGTCAAAAATACTTTGATCCCAAAGATAAATTAAATGTAACTCATTAAATAGTAAATCTATAAATGAGTCCAGAGCAAACTTAGAACTATATGAAGCTAAATTGGGGCCGTAAAGTTTGTTGAAACAAAAGGTAAAAACAAAAAAACCTAATCCATACGTATATATATGTGTGTGTGTGTGTGTGAGAAACTGAAAAATACCTTAATTTGGAAAATGGTTTATCGTTTTCAGTTTAATTTTTTTCCTTTGAGCAAACTTTTTGGCCCCAATTTAGCTCCAAAAACTTGATTGAAAGTCAATGTTCATGGAGTGGGAATATTTTTAAATGCATTTGTAAGAACGTGGCATTTTTTTTTTATTAATTGAAATCAAGATATTCACTTCAAAAAGGAATTTTATTAAGTTTAATACACTGGGCGGATTAAAGTCAGATATGTGTACATTCAGCTTTACAATTCTTACATGAATTACCCCATTAAAGTCCTAAAATGTACAATTTACAAGGTTTTACATGGTTCAACTTGTTTCTAACCACAAAAAATAAAATAAACAGTGGTTTTATTTTGAGAAGTACATAAAAATCTAATTCAATTATATTTAGCTGATCTAAATTCAAACGCTCATGTATGAAGCATTAATATAAGTTAAAATCTTTATAACAAAACGGTCCGAGAGGACTATTTCCCAAGACGGACAAAGACGAAGACAAAGAATGGCACACACAAACATGCAAACATAAACTGGTTTAAAAACCGTGTCCTGTGTACAGATCCCAGTCAGGACACCGAACGCATCGGGAAGGAAAAGATACCGGCATTCAAACGCAACGTGTTCAGAGTCTGAACGGGTTTTCTCAGACACCGTCGCCTCAACGGTGTCACTTTAATACTTCCAGATTGTGTAGAAACACAATCTGAACACTTTATGTCTCCGCACTGCTAACACTTCTGATGTCATCCGTCTTGTGAGTCTTTCTCCTCCTTCAGCGGTGCCCGCCTCTTTTGATTTATGCGCTCTTCAAAAACAAAGCAAAGGGTTACAGTCCAATTCAATAACAGAAAGTAAAACGGCATTTCCAACACTGAAGTAAAACGAGGCAGCTGTGCGGACGACGCATGCGCCGAGCCAGAAGCGATACATCGACGGAGTCTGTGAGGAAGAGGAGAAGGACGAAGAGGAGGGGGCAGGATGAAGCACATCCCGGTTAAACGCTGCAGAGAAGTCGGGCCAGCATCGATATGGATGCGGTTGCAAAGGCAATGAGCTCTTAGGACAGAAAACAGCATGCTGGAGGCCGAGAACCCTGGTTCCCTCTGATCACACAGAGACTGAGAATAAAGATGTCTGACGAACTTTGGCTTCCACTTTTCGAGTTACTTTGACTAAAAAAAACAAAACAGCTTGAAATAGAAGCAGAGACTTTGAACAAGGTCCTAAAAGATAAACAAAAAAACAGCAGGAAGAAAAAAAAAGCCTGACTCATTTAAATTGAGACTGAGCTGCGCAGCATCTTTTCTAATTGTGCAAAACTAGTGTCTTAGTGGAAACGGTCGACCGTCTGGAGAGAGAGCTCAGCTCAGGACGAGAGACAGAGGGAGAGAGAGAGACGGGGTTTGGGGTGTAGATGTTAGCATGTGCTGCCGTCGCGTTGTGTGGTTTAAAGCATGGAGCAGTAGCCGCCGCAGGCTCCGCCCCCGGCGTCTTCGTCCGTCAGCTGCACTGCCCTGCCGTGGCCCTCGCTCTGCCACAGCCCGGGCGTCTGGATGATCTTCTCCACCAGCTCCTCAAACGCACACTGGACTCCGTCCTTCGTCTTTGCGCTGGCCTCTGCGTGGACGGGGGACAGAGTTAGACGGCATGGACCAAAAGGACAGAGACAAGATGACTTGGAAAAGCAGCTTCCCTCGTGTGATATTCGGCTCTACCTCATACGCTCGCCAGGTCTGAGTAGAGAACTCGCTTACCGATGAAAAGCATGGAATGTTTTCTTGCAAACTTCAGCCCTTCGGCTCGGTCTACGTCGTGGTTATCCTAAAACAGGAAAGACGTCTTAGCTTCGTTTAAACCAGTTAATAAAGTCTGACTACTAATTGAACTAGAGATGCACTGATCCAATATTAAAGGGGTATGTAACATTGACTTTTTTGTGGCGTTGCATCATGTTGTAATGTCAACAAAATCATATCTGGAATGTTATGCTTGAGAAATCCTTTAATCTCCCGTGGCAACCACTTGGCTGTGCAAAATGCCTGGGTGGACCTAGCCCCGCCTTCGAGGCTCGAAGCTGCCGTTTTAAAGCTTTCAAACTTCCATCTTACAGAGCAGCCGTCCCCTTTGACTCAACTCCAGACTAGCCAGCAGCAATTAGTCTGGAGGAGCTGAGCACCTGCTGAGCTCATCATAGGAGCCACGTTTCAGTGTAACGGTGGTAAAGAAATTGTTACTGTGTTAACAGAGGAGCCCTGTCGTGATGATTGCCTGAAGGCAGAGTTTCTTAAAGAGACAGAGGCCCAATTGCAAGGTGTTACATTACAAAGTCAAATTTCTTGCATTATATTTGACAACTATTCCATTTTTCTAACAACGTGGCTGGAAACACAATACTACCCCTTTACTATCTGTATCGGCCCGGATATTGAAAAAAAAACAAATTATTTTGGCATTTTAAGCCAATCCAGCACTGATTTTCCGTATCGGACCTGTATTTTTAAAAAGTTGTGTATCGGTGCATTCCTACGTAAAACATTCGGCGGATTTTTAATAAACACTTCCTGTCAGGCTTCAACGTAGAAACGGTCGCGTCCGACCCGCTCACCTTATCGATTTTGTTTCCGACGAGCATCTTGACGAGGTCGTTCCTGGTGCAGTAGGTCTCCAGCTCATTGAGCCAGTTGTCCAGCTTGGTGAAGGTCTCTCGTCTCGTCACGTCGTACACTGCAGGTGATCAGAAAATAATGATAATAAAAAAACTGAAGCTCAGACCAACACGTCTCCAGTTAATAACTTAAACATTCTTCAAAACATGCTGGATGTTTAGTAGAGGCCTTGAGTCTGAAAGGTAATCACTGCAAATTAGTGATGCACAGATCTGAGAATCTGACATTAATATTATTGATTACTACAGATTATTACCAATAATATTTATGTTTTATTACACTTACAACACCTTGACAAAATAATACCACTGATTTCACCAGTGCTTTTCCACTTCAGTTAAACTACCCACAATTCTTTGCTGTATCACTTTCTCTGACACACATATATATACAGTAGTTTCCAAACTTCTCTCCACCTTTAAACGGATGTTTATCAAGTGAAATCAAACTGAAAAACATATATTTGAGTTAGAAAGGGGGAAACAAGCTAACACTGAATTGAAAGATGCTGTAAAAAAAAGTATCTTTTGATTCAGTAGCAGCACACCTCACAAACATTCAGTCAGATTTCTTTCTGAACTTTAGTGAGTTGATTCCCAAACATCATATTTTGTATTAAGTTTGCTGCATGACACATTTTGTGTAAAAGAGAATTCAAAATGCTTTAGAGAAAAATGTCAAGAGTTTGAAAACACATGCATAAATCAAACAAGATAAAACAAATGGAATACAAGAAGAAAAATTGTCAAATTAAATTAGAAAAAAAAAATTAGATAAAATACTGTCAGTGAGCACTGTTGACTCAGGTTTTTATTTTTATTTTATTTTATTAGATGTCATTTTGCAAGGCCAAGAAGAACTGTTTTCACCTTGTATTTAAAAATGGTCTAACAGTGGGATTCTACATTTTCCTGACCTTAAAGTAAAAAAAAATAAAAATTCTTTTTTTTTTTTTTAAAGATGGTGGTTCACCTACCCAGGATGACTCCCTGGGCGCCGCGGTAGTAACTCGGTGTTAGGGTTCGAAAGCGCTCCTGTCCTGCAGTGTCCTGCAAAACAAAAAGCCAAGCAAGGTTACAGAGTCTAGACAAGACATTCCTGATGCACAAGTGCCATCTTGTGGCAACTTAGAGGAACAGCAATCACACAGACAGGTTTGGTTCTCGTTTCTAATAGTAAAGAAATGAATGCCGTTAATCTAAATGTGAACATTTGAACTCACCCATATCGCCAGCTTTGCCTTGTTTCCATCCACTGATATGGTCTTCACCTTGAAGTCGACACCTACATGCAGCAGAAATTCAGACAATTGGTCAAATCGCCGTGGTTACCTCATGCTCCAGTGTGATGACTCTCACAGGTTTTAATCCATCAGTGCCAAGAATATCACATCCAGCAGACAGATTGCAATCGTCACTGGGAGTCTGCCAAGACACAAAGAACCGCAAACCGTCTCCAAACCCCCGGCAACCCCCGGTAACCGGGCCCGTACCACATCTTTTAGATAAACGACGCTGTGACGGAGTATCCAAACGCCACACTGGGGGGACAGAGTGCTTTTTGTGTCTTAAACTCGAAACAATGGGAGTCTGTGCTGAAAACCGAGGAAGAACCAAATGCAACCAGCTGTCAAACGGCTCAGAGAATATTCAAGCCCAAAAACCCTAACAGGCCCATACGTCAGCGTGAACAAAGCAGAACACAGAAGAGTTAAGTCACTTCGGTGTCTCGGAGCATGGAGGGCTAATAAACGTAGAATAATTAAAAAAAAGTGAATCTGAAACTACTCTGTAGCTCCACGTTGCAGGTTCATCCACCAGCGAACCTACAGACCGAGTGTTGACGTCGTAAAGCGTTTATATGGTGCATTCTTAGAAAGAACATTAGATCAGACAAAGTAAACAGGAAATCATGGAGGAATTTAAACTCTCTTCCAGTCTAACTCTTCACCGGTCTGACTCGTTACACAATCTGACGTGTGTTTCCCTGTGAAACATCCAGAAAAGCATCTGTTTGCAATCGCCCTACACAATGAGACGCCAAAACGGTGGAGGTCGAAGCGAGGTCGATCTGTGTCGGCCGAGACGGCAGAAATGTTTATCGTCTTTTTGTGGAATGGATGTAAAGATCTGGTTTCAACTGTGAAAACAGGACTCTTATTTTGGTGAAAGGAAAGAACTAGATTTCTCTCACTGCTTTGAAATTCTCTATATGGCAGCATTTGGGAGAACTGGATACAAACAAAAAAACCATAAGTGATTATTTTGAAAGGTTCAGTGTTGAGTACTCTGTTGGGCTAAAAAAGGAACTAGTGGGCAAAGAAGGAGTTTTTCTGAAAATGTTGTAATTTAAAGGGGCAGTATTATGCAAAATCAACTTTTTTTTTTAGATTTACATCATCAAAAACATACCTTGATTCTTTCATGCAAATTTGAGAAATCCTTGAATCTCCCTCAGCAATCTTTAGGAATGGTTGCCAAGGGAGATTCAAGGACCTTTAAAGCCTTGGTCTCAGCAAGAGTCAAATCCGTTGAGCTCATCATACAAACTACTTCTCAGTCCAATGCTCCTAAGAACAGTTGTAAACGGCATAATGGAGAAATAATGTGATGACTTTCTGAAAGTAGAGCATTGGAAAGAGTAGGAGCTTCTTAAAGAGGCAGAGCCCCAATTTCAAGGTACCAAATTGTAAACTCATTTTTCTTAAGTCATATTTGACTTAAAAAAAAGTTTAAGTCAAATATGGCAATTTTATTATTTAAATCTTTAAATATGAGACAGTTTTTATAAGTTTTTGTTAGAAAAACTGGTACCTTCAGTTTCGCCAAGAACTGAAGATAACATGGTTACTTATAAAATAGTGCCTGAAAAATACATAATGCCGCCACTTTAAACGTCATTTTAAGCTAGCGCATCACCCAGACTACATGGTTTAAAAAAACAGAACTTGATAATGGTCTCTATGTATTCCGGTTTGTCCTTCACAAACTGCTTCATCTGGGTCGTCGTGACATTTTATCTCTTCTCATATATAACTCAAACATTTCACTGCTGCCAGATGAATTACAACTAAACATCTTTGAGAGAAGAGCTTGACTAAAAACATGCAAACAACAAAAAAATGTCACTTTATGTCTAATCTGAGAGGATGGGTATATGAGAACGTGCTTATTAGAGGGGACATTTTTCTCTTGAACATGTCACAACAAAAGTGGGGAGAGTTCAGGTTTGTTTAGATTCTTCAAACCCAATATTATGTGCGGTTCTGCAGCGGGAGCAGAAACTCTGACAGACGTGGCGTCTTAACTCACCTATCGTCGCCGACTGCTCCGGGTCAAACGTGTCATCTGTGAAGCGTAGGAGAAGGCTGTTGGTGGGAAAACAGGAAGTTAAGTTCACATCTTGTTATGACTCACTGCTTCTTTATCCCTTCATGATTCGGCTCTGGACAGCACTTCCTGTTTCCTGGCTCAAATATCCACCGACCTCGTCTTTGTCTCTATTGATTACCTCACCCTTCACTTTCATTACACACACACACACTCACACTCACACAGGCTTCAGATGATGTCACCGCTACACATGAGCTAGGAGGACAGAGATCACTTCCCAACGGTTACTGATAAAGTTCAAAGTCCTTCTTCAAAAGCCTGATGAGGAGGCTGGCTTCTGACCTCTGACCCCAGCAGAACTCTCTGGGATGCCCCTATGTAGGGCGACAAACAGCACTAAGTGTTTACTGTGTAAGAGGGAAGGAGCTGTGCTGTGGAAATTACTGGTTCTGGGAAAAATCAAATGCGCATCCTTCCTGCCAAGCGGACATCTTCCTGACGATCGGAAGCAATCACATAAAACAAATCCGCTCGCTTCCCCCGTCCTAATGACACTACCTCGGCTTGGGATTATCATTATCATTATTGTGACATCTGAAACTAATCCTGAGCTGAACTTGTTTGTTTTAGCAAACAAAGGCCCACTGTAACCGATGACACCAAATAGCTTCGTGGAAACGCTGCCATTGGTCTGAACGACGAGCTAGCAATCAGCGTGCAGAGCAAACCCTTCTGATGCCTGGGAACATAAGCAGACATACAGTATCAGGGAGGCGGGTGGGAGATATGGACGTAACGTTTTAGCACAGCAATTTGTTGTAATATTGTAACGATAAGAACCATTTAGTACTTTTGTTTTTTCAGGTAACTGTGGAGCTGTGACTCCATGACGTAGCATTCACAGCCCCAAAGACAAGTAATGCTCTTGAGAAACATTTACATTTAAAATATGCTTCTTTAGGACACCAGTTTCATAAAGAAGTGGGATTTATATCAATAGAAACAAACGCAGTCACTGCATTTAATCATATTTTCAAGTTATTTGGTGTTCATTGATCATAGAGTGGAGAAAATATAGCAATAAAAACCTGACAGTGTTAGGTGTTTTTAAACATTAGAAATTTCAGTTTTTTTTTAACTAATTAATTGGAATTTATTGTGACAATGATAAATCAAAAATCTTGATAAATGATAAACAACGCAATAAATATTAACTGCTACTGGTGGATTCGTCTACAGTAACGAGCGCCTTTAAATTACCCATCCATCTACATTACAACGCTCCTTTTTGGTCCTGTTTAGGAATTAAAGTCAAAATAATTGCATACCAACTGTAATTACATATTACGGTGTTTTTGCTTCTGTAGAAAAAGTATTATAATTGTCGGTCTTCTTGTTATAAAAGCAATTAGAGCAATTTTGTTTACAATTGTGCGTAAATAAAATGGTTTTGTGCAAAAACAAAGTCTCCCGTGAAGGCATGAAAGATGAACAATGGGCCAAAAGGATGAGCGGCTGGGCTCAGAGGGAAGGAGTGGATCATCCATCCATCATCCAGGGAAGAACCGGACCTGCAGCTCCTCAAAACGAGTCATGACTCCGATTTAAGCCTCTTCTTCCAGGAGAGAAATTCTGATCCCAATTTGTGTTCCGCAAATATTTAACTTTACAAGCATTTTCCCCTTTCTGTTTACTCATTATCCGTGTTCCATGAATGGTCCTGGATGACATGCTGCGGTGACATTTAGCACTGAGTGGTTGGCAGCGCAGGCTGCTCGTCTGGATCGCATTTATGACCACGGGCAGCAAACCCGAGCCAAGCTGCTTGGTGCGGGACTTAAACACTGACCAGGGTGTTTTTAGGAGGCAGTTGTTTAGCGTCATGGTAAAAACATGTGGCGGTGAAGAGAAGGTGAACTGGACTCCTGTGCGGTAACCTCATCCCGATTGCAACATCTTAAGGAGTGAACAAAGATGAGCTCACCCAGCAGCTAGCCGCTAATAGCTAGCCGCCAGCAGCTAACAGGAGGCTGCTACTGTTCTTTGGTGTTTATTAGCCCTGACAGCTTTGTAAGTAGTGCTAAAAATAAAAACAAACCCCGATGGAAAATGTTCCTTCAGGTTAAACTCAGCCCCACTGTCCTGTTTAGCAAGTCTAGACGCCTTTAATAAAACAGACGCTAGCAGGCTGTAGCACTAGCCGACATCCAAGGCAGCGCTGATTCTTGCCATGTTCTTGACCCGAATAAAGCTTCGTCTTACCTGGACTTGCCAACGCCACTTTCACCGATGATTAAAATCTTCAGCGTCGTTAAGACGTCGTCTTCCATTTCCCCCTGCGAGGGCCTGTTTATCTCTTTGTAATTTCAAAAACAGAGAAAGAGAACTTGGCTCCTGGATACAGCTGGCTGGAAGCACAGATGGTTTGACTCGGTAAGACGTCTCACTCCAACCATATCCGGAGTGACTTGTTGGCACTTCCGGTTATCCAGCAGATTGCATAAGATAGAGCACATATGCGTACAGTCATGGAAAAGAAGACGTTTTTTTTATTCTTTGGTTTTAGAAGTCAGAGCATAATGACATATGATGTGAATTTTACCAATTAATAGTAAAAAAAAAAAAAAAAAAAAAAAAAAAAAAAACATTAAAAAATTTTAAAAAAGTTTTTTTTTAATTTTTTTCTAAACAGCAGAATTTTTGGTCACATTACTTATCCTGAAGCAGCAGGATAAGTATAAACTGTTCCATGTCCATTTTCTGAAATGCTATATTAGTTTCAAGCCAGTTGTAATGAGATGCATTTCTTCCAACAACTTCCACTCTTGATTTATGAGTCCACAAGATATTTTCCCTCAAATCTTTGAGATCCAGATGTTTTTGGCTTTACTGGAATTAATTTATGAGCTTTTTTAAAAAAATTTTTACCTTGGAACTCTCAATGGGAATAGTTGCCCAGTCTCTGTCTTGTTGTTGAATCATTAACGCTGAGGTCTGTGATGCTTTAGATGTTATTCCTGGTTTTCAGTGGATGTCTTGGAATAATCACCACTGTTCTATGTTTATTATTTGTAGCCGATGGCTCGTTCTGTGGTTTGCTGCAGTCCCAAACCTTAGAGTTGGACATGTAGTCTGAAAAATATCACTGACTTTGTTCCTCATCTGTTCTTGAATTTCTCTAAATTGGGAGATTATATGTTGCTTTTTGATAGCTTTAAACCTACGTCCTGTTGTAAATGTCTGCCAAAAACAGCACATTTTGAGAATGGTCTCAGAAATTTTCTACACAAAACTTCTAAAATTTCTGAACTCCAAAAGTAAAAAAAATCTGAAGGAAAAAAAATCAGAAATTTTGAGATTGAACTCAAGAAATTTTCTGGGAAAACGTTGAAATTTCAGATTCAGAGGCCAAAATGTTTCAACTTTCGAAGTCTGACAATTTCCAAAAGTCGGAATATTTTTTGACTTTTTTGAAAATTTTTCTAGACAATTTCTGAGACTAATCTAAACATTTCAGAGCTTTTTCTCTCAAATGTTTGACTTCTCAAACTCAGAAATGTCCTTGTTTTTTCTAGAAAATTTCTGAAATTCTTTTTAAAAAATCTTTGTGGAAATTTTACTATTTTATTTTTCCATCTAGAATGGCCATAATATGCCATCATAGTATGCTGCACATTGTTCAGACAATACAAATTAATATTAGACCCTTACCAGTATAGCATGGTATAATAAGAATTGAATTAATTCAGAAAAATAAATTTAAAAGTCTCCACTTTAATAAAGTGGACGTAGTGTACAATGAAGAACTACTGTAATGGTGTTAAAGAGAACCACAAACTAGCCACACAGACAAAAACACCTTTTTTTGGTATTTAATAAATATCTTGTGAACAGCACTGGGGAAAACATGGTAATAAAATAAAAAAAAGGCACTTTAAAAGCAATATTTTTGAAAGGCCTGTGTGTTGTAGTTTAGAGGCATCTGGGTGATTCAGGGACATCTTCAGTCATTCAGGGTGAATAATAAAACTGGCACAGAAACAAATCGATAAGAAAACACGTGGGACCTGAGGATTAAAAAAATTCATAAAAAAAGAAATGTGATTACATCAGAGCTGTATCTCAGAGCTGTATATAACTGCAGAGATTTTTTGATTGTTCAGCATTGCTGTGATGTCATTTTAAACAAGTGGTATACAATCCCTTTGCGGTAGCACGCCATCTCGGCACTACAAATAAAATACTTCATATCTGTCTTGTGTTTTGACTTTTATAGTAGGTCAGCACTCTGCAAGAGTGCAAAACAAAAAACAAACAACTGAAATCATTTGCAAATTCAAAACTACATGTACAACCACTTTATTCGCTCCTATTGTCCAATTTGTACTGAATTCTGCTCGACATTGTTCAGAATACCTTATTGCAATCGTTTTTCTAAATATACACAGACGCACGTGACACGAAGTGCAGCAACAGTGACGCGTTAAACAGGAGGCTTGACTGCCAAGAAGCACAAACTGGAGAAGTCTTTCTAAAGCCGTAGGCTCCGAATCGGACCAGTCCGTCAGCAGAAAACAAAACGCGACACTTGGAAGTATGTACAAAGACCGCATACTGTACATCAAAAATACGACACTTGGGGTATAAATTGTACGTGTTAGTAACAACAAACAGGACGCAGTGGCTGAGTGATACAATGCTACGACGAAGCAACAAAGACGAACGCACAAATTTTCCGCCACTCGCTCCCGCCGGACGCCGGACCGGCTGGTGTATGACTGCAGCTGTTGCAGAGATGGTGTCAGAGTTCAGGAAGGACCCCAGGGCCATCATTTGCCCTCGTACTTCGGATTGACCACAGTTGTGACAGCACTTTTGTAGATTGGATTTTCACCCTGGAGAGGACACAAAAATAACAGAGTTCAAATTCAAAACCCTCACAGCTTTGAAGACAGCTGAACAAGTAGAGCTCCTTAAAAAAGTTTTTTTTTTTTTTTTGGAACGTTTTGTCATTTTTTACCACAAACTTCAAATCCCAATAACTTCAAGATGTGTTATTGGGATTGTATGCAGTAAACCAATACAAAGTAGTAAATAGTTGAAAAGTGGAAGGAAAAGGACATAAAAGTGATGCATTCAACACTGATTGAATGCATAGTTCTGGTGAAAGCTCAACTCTTGCCCCAGACTCAAGTCTTCTCAGGTCAGTCTGAAGTAGTTGCTCACCCAGTTATCTACCTCCAAACATCTTCTGATCAACTCTGAACATTTTCACTGTCCCTCTGGATAAAAGCCTTTCCCACCATTCCCCAGCATGGGCCACAAAGTGATATTTTGGTCTCATCCAATTATGGTAGACTTATTCTTTCCTTCTAGGAAGGTTTTATTGTTGTAACTCTAATATAAACGTCAGCTTTATGGACATATTTCTAGGGTTTCACCAATTGCAGTTTTTTTTTGGCTGATCATCGATCTTTAAAAAGCCTGACCTGCCGATTCAGATACTCATTTGTTGACTGAAAAATCGCTAAATAAAGTGACCAAATTGCAAACTTGGCCACACTGGGGTGATTACTGTTAACCTGTTGTGCGGGTCGGTCAGTCAACCCTCTCACGGTGGAGCAAAAGAGGGCAGTGGCTGATTTTCAGACCCTTACCCAGGTAGATAAAATCCATGGAGAAGATCGGGTTCACATATGTGTATCGGCCAATCATCGATCTATCGGGGTGGATTTATGGGTCCACTCCTACATATTTAAATTTTTGGAGGATGGGTTGACAAGGTTGGGATATAATTTTATACCTTAACTCTGCTTGAAAACTCCTGATAACTTCCTTGATAAACTGTCTAGTAAATTCCCTGATCTTCCCAGAACAGCTGATTCTGTGATTAAGTCAGTGAACTCAATACCAACTAAGTACCTTTTTAAGGCAACTGGCTGTATGGAATTTTATTGTGAGGCATCGAGGTAAACTACCCACCACTTTTCAAAACTTTATTTGCCAAGAAATTTGAAGATTGTGTTTTCCTTACTTCCCACATTCTTTTTGTGCTCTACTTAGTCTTGGTCTAAAAGAGAAACATCTCTTGAGGAAATATTAAAGTTTGTGGTTTTAATGTGGAAAAAATGCAAAAAAGTTCAAGAGGCACAGATACTTTTTGAAATGTGCTGCAGTTTTAGTTTAAAGAAGAAAAAACAACAAAAAAAACGAACACACAAATTAGTCGCTGAATGTCAGTAGAGATCATCCCTTAATGAACACGTCTTGTATGCAGGTCACACTTTAAGGACATGCCAGACAGCCACTAGGCCTCATAAACACAATTATTCAAACACTTACCACATAATGCTTTAGTTAGACGTTTTTCATACCACCCAATATTTCCAAAGGTGAGTATTTTTTGCTGCATTGTTTTGTCACAGCACACTCATGCAGTCTTTTATAAACTGTAAATCTGAACAGGGATTTTACCCCTACTTCTGTAGCGGCTATGTTGTAAAAAAAAATAATAATAAAGAAAGAAAGAAATACAGAAAAAAAATAGAATGACAGAAGGAACTAAAGGCAGAGGACACACAGAAAAAAAAACACAGCCCATGCAGGAAGAACAAGAGGAGAGGAAAAGAAATACGAACTCAAAGGACAGCGCCTTTACGTCCATAGTTCGGGTTCTGGAACTGATTGATTGGACTCTTGTAAATTGGGTTTTCTTGCTACAGGTGGAGAATGAGGACAGAGGAGAGTTCACAAGGAACATCAGAACAGTAGAGAGGAATAAATAAAAAGCATACAGGGAGAAGAACAAGGTCAGGTGAGAGCAGAGGACGGAGGACAACGCAGCGCTCCCCTACGTCTTTCTAGAGAATGCCACGTCTGTCTGCCAACGTTTGAGCTATGGCCAGAGAGAGATGATTTTAACATTCAGTTTAACTTAAGAGTTACATGCAGAAAAAACAAAAAAAAACAAAAAACTAAGCTGATGACATCCTCAAATGACAAAGTTTTCCTGCCACTCATATAACTCCTACTGAATAACTGATCTGCTCTTTATGGATCCACCAGGCCAGTAGAAAGAACGGTAGAATACTGTGATCTACTGACTGGAAGATCCTGACCTCCACCGTTCTCTGTATGCTAACGCTACATTGCTGTCCTTTGACATCTGCCAACTTCACCTTTAGATGGTGACTATATTACAGTGTGAACACCTTTGTAAAAACATAATTTTTTTTAAAAATAAATAATAAATAAAATGTCTGTTTCCTGGAATAATTTGCATTGAAATGAATTGTGAGAACTGGATAACTGGGGAGAAAAAAAATCATTTGTTAGTTAAACTGAGCTTAATGCACTTCTTGATAACTAGGACCAATTAGAATATATGAGTGAACTGAATTGAGCTGGTTTGTGTTGCTGTGTTCTGGCTTTCCTAAATCCCTTAAATCCTTAGCACAATCAATTACAATTATGCTGTAAGTTTTTGTAGACAGCCAGGTCACTATATGGTGTCAGAAGTGGGATTTCATCCTGCTGCTATCTTGCTTCTAGATGCATCGTAGCTGCATTTAGAATACATTTCAGACAGTCAGGTTGTGGGAATGAATACATTTGTAATTTGTTGAGAGGACATGATCAGCTGCTTTTGCTACAATATGTTCCTTGTTTTTCTAAAGGGGAACTTAAATACAATTATTGTCACTTAAATAAAATTAAAACCACACTTTTTGCCAAAAGAATATTTTTCTTTTCTTTTTTCTTTTTTTGCCTAAATCATCTTTCGGCAAAAAAAAAGTGGTGATTTTTTTTTTGGACAAAATCACTTTTTGTATAAAATGACTTAGGCCAATATTTTAGGAAGGTGAATACAATATCAAATTTGTCATGTTAATCTGAATTCAAATCAACTGTGATATAATCCTGCCACTAGGTGGCGGAGTACGACTTCATATGGTCCTAAGTAAATTCCTGCTTTGCCTCCTGTTGATCTTGGCTGCCATTGTGACATGAGGGAGGAAGCGGGGCGGGAAGAAGGCTTGGCCCCTCCCTGGAAAAAGTTTTGCTATGCACAGAGCACATAGCATTCCCAAAAAAGTCCACACTGACTCCCAACATTTTTCCTTCTTCGGTCGAGCCCTGTTCAAAAGCAACAAATTCAATCTGTCTTCACAGCTGCCAGAGCGCTCAGAGCAGGAGCGAGGGCGCTCGTAATGATATAAACACGGCAGTAAATCCCATCTGCTGCTAAGAACAACTGATTACCTTCCCTGTGAAGGAACAGAGCAACACAGAGGGCCGAGCTGCACCTGTTTTCCACATCTGACTCGCCTCTGCTAAAATGCTGGCCAAAAACGTCGGCAGGATTTCCAGACACCCACCGTATCCCACTTGGCGTTCATCTTCTCCTTCTCGAACTTGGCGAACTCCCTCCTGTCGTGGATGATCATCAGCAGCTTCCAGATGAGCAGCAGCGCCAAGCCGATCAGGACGATGCCGGCGACTACGCCCGCGACGATCGGGATGAGATCCGGGCCCTTGGGGCAGTCTGGAACGGGGCAGCAGAGTTAGGATCGCCAAACATGTCCGGCTAGGGCAACCTCTGTAATCGCTACGGGGTTGGGGGCTGTGCTCACCCGGTTTATCCAACACGTAGACCACCTTCTCCGAGCTGTTGGTGACGGTGTACACGTAGTAGATCCAGCAGTCGTTGGCGTCCTTCTCCTTGCAGTGCGTGAGGGGGTAGGATTTGTCAGTGGGCTGGGGAAACTTGTCTTTGGTGTCCACTTTACGCATGGTGAAGTAATTGCATTCCTCCTCACATACGTCTTTCTTCACCCCGGTAAGAAACATCCGGCACTCCACGCAATCTCTGAAGAAAACCGCATTAATAATAGTAAAAACATGTTAAAAACGGATTGTTACAGAGTCTTTCTGCCAGACCAAAAAGAAGAATTCAGTGTTCTTGACTTTGTGGATGGATTCAGTTGTGAACATAGAAACTTAAAGGAGGTTTTTATTCCACACAGTCATTCCTTACTTGTGTTCAGCACAGGCTGAAGGACAGGTGGGACACATTTCGCACTTTGGGCCCTGGAATTTGAGGTCGTCGCACTTGCAGACGCCGCATTCGCAGCGTCCCCTGCCGTTGCAGATCTGCTTGTTGCTGGCCAAACACGTGCTCTCGTCCAGGGAACAGTCGCAGGCAGTTCCGTTCCACATGGGGTCACAGATGCACTTCCTGCACTCGCAGCGCCCGTGTCCTGAACAGCAGAGAGAACAGAGGGGAGAATGACGGAGCTCGTCTCAGCATGATGTATTATGGTCATATTTCTTACGACACAATTAGCGTCATTAAAAAAATAATAATAATAATTCTGCGACAATCAATCGATTCTGAGGTTCACAAATCAGAATTTTTAATTCCATTTCCAGTTCATGCCAGTTTCAGACAATTTTCACTTCTCTTTAAGAACAGAACTCAAAAGTTTTTTTTTTTTCTAAATTTCCTGCAATGAGCTGTTTTTATTTATCTATATCTAGGATCAGAGGCAATGTCATACAGTGACTTTATGAAGGAAGTTACCGTAAAACTAGATTTCAGAATTTTAAATGAAAGACATTTTAAACCAGAGTTGTCCAAAGCAGTAATGGGTGATATGGACTTAAAGTTTTGTTACTATATTTTGTGGTATTACTGTGATAACAATAAGAGTGACACCAACAAAACAGAAAACACCCAACCCGAATAAGTTGTGTATATAAGATCCTTTAATTGTTTTCTTCAAGAAAATATTATGTTTATTTTATTTCAGAGCAGGTAAACCTAAAACAAAAAAGTCATTCTTTTTATAACTTGGGGAAAAGAATTGTGGCCATTAAGTATTTCCATGACCGATTTTGGTCCATGTGGATAGAGTTTAGACATGTAAGTTGTAACCTAAAACATCATATAATGTTTTACTAATATTACTAACATCTAATGCTGAATACTGGGATGGTGTGTCAATGGCTGCATCAAACTATTAGAAAAGAGCAAAAATGATATTTTTGGTCATCTTTCGGTTCTTTTTCTGGTTAACTTTCAGTCAAGTTTCCAGGTTTCATGTGTTGCGCTCACTCACAGGAAAATGACTTGGCGTGACTCTTAAGATCACGAACGGCATCCTCTCCCCTCCACAGACTCACCTCCACAGAGCTTGTTTCCAGAGCGGTCGCAGTTGAAGTTGTCACACTCGCAGAACTGCCCGCTGTACCTCTCCTCCGGGTTCTCCCTGGCCTTGCACTCGCAGGTGCCGCACACGCATTCCCCGTTGTTGCTGCAGATGTCCGTGCCGTTGTCCTTGCGGCAGGTCCGGTCCATGTCCTCCGTGGACACTTCGTTGCTGCTGCACTCGCACTCCCTGCCCACGCGGCCCTCTTTGCACCTGAAGCAGAGGGTTAAGTGTCGCCAAGCGAACGGGGTTTCTTTAGATAACCGGAAGGGCAATTATGACAAAAAAAAAAAAAAAAAAAAAAAAGAGGTGTTGGAGGGATTCGTACCTGCAGGCTCCGCACTCGTAGGTCCCGTTCCCGTTGCTGCAGACCTGGCTGTTGTTGACGGCTTCGCTGTGGCAGTCGCACTCGCAGATGAAGTGGAGGATAATCTCCACCTCCTCTGTGAATCCCAGGGGCTTTATCTTGATAATCTCAGGACTGGTATTGTTTGGACAACCTTTAGAGGTGATGCTGATGTTAAAGTGGACCTGAGAGAACACAGGAGAAACGCTTATTCACTGATGTCAGACAAGCTGCTGGTGCCACTAGACATCTTAACTGACATGCTTGGGAAATCTTAATATTAATTAATCTTCTTTTTCTTGAAAGGGCTGCAGGTTAATGCCTGAAAGACAGTCTTTAAAAAGCTGAAAAACCTTTATTTAACCAGCCACGTCGAATAAATTCTAATTTTCAACAACTTGTTCAGAAAACATTAATGCATCATACAACAGAAAATAGATTAAAAAAATAGATAAATATCATAAAACAAATGTTGTAAATGCTTTGAAAAGGATAAAAAGGTATGATTGAAAAAAATTCTAAAATAAAACCACCATAGTAAACGACAGTGTAATGAAGTATCTCGAATAAGATCAAGAAGAAAAAAAACTAATCAAACCAGAAAATGTTTCAGAAAATGTTCAATAGGATTTTTAGTCCTGTGTAACATTTTCTGCTTTACGCTGCTCTAAAGGTAAAATGGAAAATTGTTAAGGGTGGGCAGCAGTTCTTTGGCCGATTTGTTTCTAATTATTTTTTTTGCTTGAGAAGTCGCAAACTATAGCATATTAACAATACACAGAATAAATATTTAAACAGTAAAAACAATGGCCCTTGTGTTTTCCTTCCAAAAACTTTGATATATAAAACAATATACATGCCTATGTTGAGCACAATTTTTATTCCAATCTTCATTGTTTGCCAGACCTAAAATTTATTTGCCTCCTTAGCGACTTCCTTTGCTTTTGCTTTATTGTTATACAAAATTGCAGGGTTTCCCCCAGTGTATTATAAGCCTTTGTTTTTAGACAAATAAAAAAATAAAATCCGCTTAATTTTTTTTAATAACCTGGACTGCAAGCTTCTCTGTTGCGGTGAGCGTTTCACTGGCGGAGCAGAATTATTCCTAAAAGATGGGTTTATAGTTGATGCTTTTAACAGGCCACAGAGCCAGAGCGCGCACCAATCACACTGCTGGCGCCTTTGCATGTTACCTGCCGCTGCTTGATGTCTGAAGTTTACCTTATACTTACTTTAGCTTATACAGTTTTAGAGTGGAGTGTTACCAGAAACATTTCTTCCAAGGATGCCTTCTTGATGGCACTTTATTGAACATAGCTCACATCCCAATCTAGCAATATCAGAAGTTGCTTACACCCCAAACTCTTCCACTGCATATTAATTAACACATTTCTCACAATTTTTAAATCTCCTTTAAAAAAACGGTTGTTTTTTAAGCTTGTGTTTCTGATGAGATTTCAGCTTCATTTTCATTTTCATTGTTTTTTTGAAGCTCTTATTTTCTTATTGCTTGCACTGATTGCTATCAATCTAAATTCAAATAGCTCTGCAGGGTAAAAATAGGGCGTGTTGAATGTATTGTTATTCTTCTGCTTACTGCAGCATGCATGTTAGAATTAATCTTTTTCTAATCAAATGACAATGCCTCTCTTGTCCAATGAAAGACTATATGATATCTGTGACATAAAAACATCATCTTCCACATCCCACCTCATCTCCAATGGAGATGTTGGAGCACTTCCTTCCATTTTCGCCCTTATTGATTACTCCGTTCTTACAGCGAGACGTGTACTCGATTGTCACGTTGTTTGAAACTTTGGTGTTCTCCAGAATCACTTCGGAGGAAAGAGCCTGGCAAAGAAAACAACACAAAAGATAAGACGACATAGCTTATTCACTGGAATGCCATCTGGAAGCCCGGTTCAGACAGCAGAGAATAAACAAAGCATTAGCTGCAGATTAAGGAGGAATGCAGGCACAACTTAACTCGGAATGCTGCACAAGGTTCCTGTCGCTCGTTTGAGCAAATGATAATGTGATCAGTTCGACTGGATTTGAGTTGTACTTAAAATCCTGAAGAATGTACTTACATTGTAAGCATCTATGATGAGGTTGATGACGTTGCTCGAGTTGGCAGACAGAGTGCCTACTGCAGACTTTGGTATTAGATTTTTCAGTTCCTGCAGAGTTAAAGAGGAAATACCAAGAACAGCGTTTAACAAAAAACTCTTGTCCTTAAAACCAACCTCTACCAAGGCTGAAATGATTAACATGATTCATTGATGATTGAAATAACTGTCAACCAATTTAGTAATCAATTAATTGTTAACTGGAGTATAAAGGACCAAAAAAATGGCCACTTGTTGAAAGAACAAAACAGTCAGAGCAGTAATTAAACCAAAACTGTACAAATGTGTACATATTCTACAAAAAACTCCTCAAATGGCATTTTTAGCTTCACCTGGTTTGAGTTCTGTAAGAACAAACTCCTCAGTAATGCATCTTTTATTACCTTAAATGGGTAACAAAAGTGGTTTTATAAAAATGGGCGATTTATAAAACCAAAAAAAAAAAAAAGAACAGATTAGTAGACAGTACTTTAGTACTTCAGCTGCAGATGTATCTTTAGCTACAAATGTTCAAGCATACACTAAATGAGTCATTGCATTTTTGGGAATACAAGTTTTATTTTCTTATTCAAAAAAGTAACCGTAGTATTGTATAAAAAACACAAGAGGTTAAATAAAAAAATCTGTGGAATTTGTCAATTTTCTTTATCCAATTAATCTATTAACCATTAGAATAATCAACAGAGCAAATCGATTGCAAAGATCTCTATGTATTTTTGCAGATGAATGTACTGAAATGGTACATTGTTGCCAACTTACGGCAGAAGTTTGAGGCTAAAATGTCATTATGATTACAACAAAAGGTTTAGAGGAGAAAAAAAAGGCTAATGTGTGCTAACCTGATAAACGGGCTGGAACTCTTCTGTGACGGCAAAAATAGTCTGAATGTTGTTGTCACTCAGCTTCTGAACCAGGTGAGCGATCGAGGGGTAGTCCTGAAAAGACAAAAGAGAGAGTAGGTTACTTGCACGTCACAGGAAGCCAAAACAGCAGACATTCCCTACATAGTAGTGGCTCATGGTGTAGATGTTGTTCTCTAGGTGGCATTTCCCGTCGTTGGGCAGCACAATGCCACCCAGCTTGCCGTCGCCAGCAAAGTGGAATCCGGCGTCAGTGGAAAACACCAGTAGGCGAGTTACGTTCCTCCAGCCAATCTGTTTCTGTAGAAAAAATGAACAGAAATACCAATCTGCAATCACCTCAAATCTCTGGAAACAGAGTTGTAAACGAGCAGCTTAAAAAGAAACATATGAGGGCTTGAGTCGCATCCAAAAATAGAAGACTCATAAAATATCTCCACCCATTTCAACGTTACTAGATACATCTGGTGAGGTGAAGCTGATAGAAAGCGGCGCGAACGGTGGGAAAATTACCCTCAAAACCTGGACCTCATGTTGAGGTCAGTGGCTTACCCCACACACGGCCACTTGCATGATGGCGTCGAAGCCGCCCTCGGGGGAGTCCAGGTTCCCCGAGATCTGCTGCTCCCCCACCAGAGTGTTGAAAGTGGCGCCATTGTTGGTCAGCGGCAGCACGTTCTTGTAGCTGAATGGGCTGGTGCAGTTCTGGTCACCTGTGCATGGATTCAGCAGCTTGGCTGGAGTGGTGCTGATGTAAGGCATGACTGTCTTCTCCACAAAGGAGCCAAAACCTATGAAGAAAATCAGAGTTAAACTACAGGTAAAATAAATGTATCCGTGTTTTGGTGAAAGGATATGCTCTAGAACTGCATCCAGATGGTGAGCCCATTTCTACTCATTTGTGAATATTTTGCATCAGTGCATGACATGAGCTGCGTTTCCATTACAAATGTGCATAAAACTTATAGTACTGCGATAAACAATATTATTACAATAGTATTGTTTATTGCGATACAATACTATACAATAAACAATAGTATCGTTTATTGCGATAAAGAATACTATTGTTTAAATGGGTAATCATCTTTATTCTTAATTCTTTATTCTTATAGATAGATACAGATAGATACAATAAGCAATTAAATCAATTAATTGCAAGATAAATTCAAATGAGTTTGATCATTTCCATTCGAATGACTGATTGTTTTTCTCTTTCTACCAAAGTCTGTATGACAAACAGCTTCAGTCTGGCGATTTGGTCTCAATTAGCCTCCTTTTCAGGTGCAAATTTGCTTAGAGACTTTTAAGTGTACATTTTATTTGTTGTTTCGGTTGTTTTGTTTATTTACTTTAAAGATTCAAAATGTCATTGAGTTCCAGTGTTAATGTTCGTTAGAAATGAAAGTTTACTGGTCTTTGAGAGGATGTACTTGCATTACTATGTCCTTACCATTATATCTCTTGACTATAGTCTCAAAACGACAATATTATTGTTTATCGCAATAAATTCCTGGACAATTTACTGACCTGTTTTTTGTGACAGGCCTAACTGTAGCCACTTGTAATTCAAGTGTGCTATGATTTATAGCACACTTGATATAAAATCATTTGTGGGGATTTTTCACCAAAATCCCCACAACCTTTTAGTAGACTATTTTTTTCTGCCTAAAACAAGGAGTTCTATTCTTGAGAATGTCACTGACTCTGTTTTACATGACTGTAAATAAATATGACCAGCCTCTCCCCAAAATAAGTGTATAATGTCTTAGCTACATGAGGTCAAACTGTGTCAGCGTGGAGAGATGCTTGTTGAACCAATTTCAAAAGCAGAATCAGGCTATTGTATAGATTTAGAACAAGAGGCATACATAAACTTAGGATGGCTGAGGAATAAATGGGTTAAATCCCCCTGTTTATTACCACTTAAAATGAATTGTATACAAACTTGTGAGTAGTTGCGTCAATAATGAAATAAAATGTGAAAACGGATTTGAAAAACAGGCACTGCTGACAGAATTTCTGTAGTCTGTTTCAGTTCAGATTGTAAAGCTTTCCAATGAGAGGGCAAAGAAGCTAAATGCTAAAATGATAAAGGTGATACAAAAAGAAAAGTCATACTTTGTAAAGCTCTGAGGTAGACAAGCAGTAAAATGTCCAAGCACAATCCATTCCCTGTTTCATAAACTATAAACAACAATAAGAGACTTGAACTAATGAGATTTCCTGACCTATCTTGAAGTCGGATGTGATCTTTGACATCTCATTCATCAGACTGGTCCCCAGGTTCTTTACGTTCTCCAGATCGTCCTTCATGGAGTAGGACAGGTCCATCAAGTAGTACAGGTCAATGGGGTAATCCTCTGCACGCTTAAACTTCAACTCAAAGGACTGTGGCTCACCTTTATATAGTTACAGCGGACAAGAATTGTCAAAATTACAGAGTGATTGATATACATAGCTGGACCAGATGTGAAGTCGATGTTTACGCACCAGATCGGAGGGTGAGGCTGACTTTTTGGGGCTGGACCTGGGTGATTTCCTCTGGTTTCAGTTTCTGGTTTTCAGTTTCAGCTTTGGCTTTGGCTTTGCTGCGATCGGTCACTGGATTGTTCTTGAGAATCGTCCGTTTTCCCAGCGGGTTCTCGATCAATGTCTCGTTGCAGCCCCGTTTTATCAGAGACTGCAGCTCGTCACACCGGCTCGACACGGTCTCGCCCTGTTTCAGGAAGTCCTGAAAAGAGGCAGCACAGACATCATTTATGACGGGATTAACATTTTGAGGTGCTTCAGTCAGGGTCCATTGGATGGATCGACAATAAATGGAGAAATTAATAAACAGCTTGTTCATGTAGAAAAATGTATTCCTATTCTTGGGAATTCTGAATCGATAGAAATTGCTCAAATCAAATCAATCTGCTTAAGTTTTTGCAAAATTAGGTTTTGAATATTGATTTGATATCTTTTTATTTAATACAAAGTCAGGCAGCTAAGATAATCTAAATCTGATCATTTAAGTTATGAACAAACCCTATTTTTGTTTAAATATTAACTGATGGAATTTGATACAACTGGAATTGTTTTAAATGAATTTTCTATTTTCTTAGACTGCTTTTCCTTTTGACAGTCACATAATTAAAACAGAATCTCTAAATAAATTGGTTTCTGAATCAAACCATGACCCTACAAAACAGAATCAAATTGTAAGTCACTGAATAGCATCACATTACTTAATCATCCTTTTATTTACAATCTCACTGTTTTAATGGTTTCCTTTTCATTTTTTATTATTAATCATTTAGTTTTTTTTACATTTACTGTCCCATTTGATTTGCTTAAAATGCAAAACAATAAGCCATGCCTGTGTTGTTTCCAATCAGAAACGGGTATGAAGAATTTTGACAATAGTTGGAAGACACATAAAAAAGACACTTATGTAAAGCAGAGCCTTCTATAGAACAGAAACACATGATTTCACTGCTGTGCATTACTCTGCAGTGAGTGTAGCTGACAGCTCTGAGTTACACACCGGGTCTGTACACCAGCCACATTTGGCTCCGGCCTGGATGCACTCTCCGCAGTGTTTGGCATTTTTGTTGATGCACTCGTTCCCCTCTAGATGGAAAACAAAGAAAAAGGAGTGATCAGAGTCAGAGGGAGCAGCGCTACAGAGCGGCCCTGCGACAGAAACTTCAGACATTTACGCATCAGTAGGTGTGAAACACTGAAGGCTCAGAATATTCCATCTGATTCCAGGATGCTACAGCACAACAGCTTCTTCTACGAGTTCATTAAACTAAAGTAGCAAACGCTTCTGTTATTATGGCCATTCACTGAACAACACAATGACATCATGTGAAAAAGAAAGTTTTAGCTTCATATTAGAAAAAAATAATAAAATCAACTTTACCTTTCTGAGAGTTACAGCAGTAAAAGAGTCCTATAAATGCAATGAAGATCAGCTTCAGATCCATCTGAAAACACACAAGACAAGACATTAGGGCTGAAACGATTAATCGTGATGAATCGATTTTTGAAACAAGTAATCAAATTATTACTTTTTTATTACTTTCTTAAATTATTATCAAGTAATCAATTATTTGACAATTATTTCACCTAAATAATTGTTAAATATTTTGAGTAAATAAAAATATTGAGAATGTGCCAATTTTTAAATCTGATTAATCGATTTGATTAATCGATTGATAATCGTCAGAATAATCAATTACTAAAATATACACTAATTGCAGCCCTAAAAGACATGATCACAAGAAAAAGCACCTTTAGAGGTGACTGTGTTTTAGATCCAGTTGATAGGACTATCTGCTTGAAGGTCTTAATGTTTGCATGCGCAACACCACCGAGCCGAACGAAGCCGACCGCAGCAGTGCAGACGGATCTGCTCGAGGTAACGGGCTGCAACTGTAAATGGCCTGCCTGTAATTGGAGGTCATAAATTATCCAGGGACAGTTGCTTGGCTTCTCTCTAGCGGTCACGGAGGAACAGACGGCTAATTAAATTCAGACCACTTTCGCACACAAACATGTATCCACGCAAAGAACAGGCCGCCACTCCTCCCCAGATTTCCCCTATTACTGTAAATAGCATCGTCTCCTTGGAGTCCCACCCCTCCGCTGTCGAATTTATTGATCCCGCAGGCTTTTTGGTCGGAACCGTATCGACGCACCTTGGTCTAATCCTAATGCAGAGCTCGGGGCTCACTAATGGATGCAGTGACTGCAGGTCCTTCCCCTGCAAGAAAAGGTTGATTTGAGACATGTACAGCCTTACTGGGCGTCTCAAAGCACATTTAATCTTTTATGTCTACTGTTTATTGTCTATAACCTACTAATAGTCTTTTCTTCAGTAAGAAAATTTAGATATATTACTAATAAATACTACACAGAATGATTACTGGTTGACCAGGAGTTCGAATTTGTCAAGAGTCATCTGTCCTCTAATGATCAGAACCAAAGAAAATGGAAATAGAAACTCTTTGGAAAGAAATATATAATCAAATTAACTCACACTTGAGATCTGAGATCATTTTTATCAAATAATACATCAACTTTCCTTACTTAAAATATCTGTTTAAGTAGACGGGAACAAAAGGGCTTGTTTACAGGTACAAACCAAAGCAGGAAGGCGCACTCTTACAATGTTATCTCTGAGGTATTTGAAGACTGAAACTGTACTTAAATCACTTCCAGCTGTCCTAAAGAAGCCCTAAAATGTTAACAGTTTATGTTTTGGAGATGAATACCGTTCCCTAAACTTCACCACAGATGATTGTGGTGTTTGGAAGGTGCAAGAATAACGTATTTGTTTCCTGGAACAAAAGGTGGATGTGGTGAAACTGTCAGTGCTATAGAGGCCAGCAAAGTAGAGCGTAGATGTGAATTGAAAGGACAATGATGGATGGTTTTCAGCATCTCACCATACGTTTCTATTCAACCGTTCCAGGTCTATAATTTGTCATGTCACCTTTCACTGCAAATACAACTGCAAGTCTTTAGCTGTACTTCCTCAGTAGTTTTTTCACATCTAGACTTAAATCTTTACCAAATGATGTTTGCAAAAACAGCTCGGTCTCAGTCAAATTGGATTTAGGGGAACAGCTTTTCAGCCTTGCCACAGATTTCCAATTGGATTTAGATCTAGATGTCGATGGCGGCCATCCTAGTTTATGAATCTTCTTTAAGCTTAATCATTCTGTCGCAGTTTTGGCTGCATGTTTAGGGTTGTGGTTCTGCTTACAATGGGGATGTTGTGTTTCGGTTTTCTGCCACACGCAGCATTTTGCTCGTCAGTCAAAGTCCTGATTTGGTCTTATGCTGTTGCATGACTTTTTTGACTTTTACACCTACCTTAGTATGAGTTGGCAACAGAAGGGACATCATCCACCCAGCTGCCAATTTTTCCTGATTGTTTCTCTACTAATGCTCTTTAACAAATTTCTGAGAGCCTCACAGAACAACTGCACCGAAGCTTAAGGTCATCAGGTAATAAACTATGTCGCTTTGGTGATGCTACAACTACAGTAGCCATGTTAATGTAATGAAAGCTGCACAACAGAAACAAACAGAACAGGAAATATTATGACCTCGAGACACATCAGTGGTGTAAGTTTAGCTTTTATTACACAGGATAGCAGGAGCTTAAAAAATACCGCAGCTAAATAATAGCTGGAATGTGAGGCCAATATTGTGCTTGAGCGATAATCAGAAACTCATGGAGATTCATTCCACAGAGAAGCTCCTGTATTCGACACTGGATATCAAAGCATGAGGTTCAAATTAAATCCAGAAGGACAGAGATAAGAGAACAGAAGCTTTTATTGTGTTGATTTCTTTTAACTACCAGCTTCTGCTGGTCTTTTATAGGGGCTGGATTATAAAATTACACTGCCTTACACTGTTGGGAAAAGAGGTTCTGACAGCAAGTGTGTGCGGTGTTGACCAGTGCATTCCTGAATGCCTATGTGACTGCGTGCGTGTGTGTGTGTGTGTGTGTGTTCATTTAAATAGACACAGAAGAGCAGACAGCCTGTCTGCAGCCCCCCAGATTAGATCAGATGGCTTAAATCTCCAGTGCTGCGCCTGGGACTTTTGTATTAGCCTGTGTATTTTCATTTAAAGTTAAAAAGAATAAAAAGAAAGAAAATGCATAACCAATGACTGACAATGTGACACCACTATGAAAATACGGATTTTATATAACTTGAGAACCTTCTGTGAAAACAGAGACGTAGAGAGAGAGGTTTACACACAGAGTGTGGTCCATATTAAGGATAATAAACTACTATTTCCAGAGAGACCACACTTCAAAATGATCAATTTCACACAACATTCCGGCAACTACAAAAACATCCAACGATTTTCTTTTCACCATAGCTCCAGTTCTGTTTTCACTTCAGGTTTGGCGTTCTGAAGGATTCATTCAGATGCAAACTAGGCCTATAAAACTCAAGCTGGGAGTCAAGTTATCTTCAGGCTCACGGCATTTAGAGGAATGCTGGTTAAAAATATAAAACAGAGCTGGAGTCAGAGAGCTAAAGAACAGGAAAAGAGCACAATGATGCACTGTTTCTAAAGGTCATTTTCAAGTGTTACATTTGACTTACTTACAGTTCCAACATTTTCTTTCAACATTGCTTTTAAAAAGTTTGATGTGAATTAGGCAACTAGGTATAACAGTATGACAAATTAACCAGCAAATCTACCCAATAAGAGTCTATGAAAGCACCACAAAAGGTCCAAGTTAGCAAATATAAAATAAATATGGACAACATTGTTGTGAATGAATAAACAATATGAGTGGGTTATTTTAGCAATGACAACAATTATTGTAATTTTTGTGTCTTTTTTATCAAAGCAATTAGATCTTTCCTACATGTAGTGATTTAAATATACAACTCTTCTCTGTGACGACAAAGAGTCACTTATGCTAACAGTGTTTCTGGTGCTTTTGTCATCCTAAAATAGGGTTAAAAAGGTTTTTGTTTGTTTTAATTTAACACAGCTGATTCTATGTCTGAATCCGTTTGGATCACCTTATCAAATTTCTGTTTCATGTCTGTTTTTTTTTTTTTTTTGAATGTGTATTCAGATTATTGTCTACAACAGCAGAATTTCTCCCTGGAATTAATAAAGTATTCTGACTCTGATTTTAGTTTATCATATCATATCGAGAGTCTCATACCAAGTAACATGAAGATGCTATATCAAAATAATAATAAAAAGAATACAATTCCTATTGACCAACAATAAACAGCGTTTCTGCCAGTGTATTATAAGCCTGGTGGGCCACCAGGCTTAACTTGCCTCCAAATTTTTGTAACTTTTAAGATTCTTCAACATAAAAACGGAATGAGCCACTGGTGGACTGCACTAGTGCCCCTACCACTGGAATTAGCAGGTTTTCCAGGGGAAATCCTGAGTAAACCATTAAATGTACATAACTTTAAATACGAACACAGACAAAAACACTTATAATGTTCAAGTGTATTCATTTCTTGTAAACAGAACAGTTGTGTAAACTTGATTATCACTCTTACGTTGCTTAATCTGTCCAAATCTAAATAATAATACAGCCTGAAGCTCCCAAAAATAATATATATAGCCCACTCTCGAGTTTCTAACTAGTTCATGTTGACAAAACCACAAAATGGACTGAATAAGTAGGCATCTTTAGCCTTGCTGTCTTTTTTTCCAGTAGATTCCCACGGAGGAAGAGCAGTCTTCTCTGAGTCTACCCAGATTACCAACCCTCCCACTTGGTCTCACAGACTAATGTCAGTGACCCCATGGAAAACGACAATTTACAAACCGAGTTTAAAAAAAAACAAACAAAAAAAACACTTCAGTGCAGACAAGGTTTGGGGCTGTAAACTTAAAAAATACTGGTGAAGTGATAAAAAAGAAAAACCATGCAGCCCCAATTTTCATAATATGTTGGGGGGGAAAAAAAGGTCCCCTGCTCATCCAAAACACCCGAAGCTGAATGTCAATGTGACAAATCCAAAAAACCCTACACAGTTTAGAAACCGAACACATCGTTTTGAAAGAGCATCCGATTGCCAAGAATACCGCACACTCTTCCATCATCCAGCAATACTCAGATTTACGAGGGTTGAAATCTACAAACAACTTAAATATTTATGAGCCAAAAGATGTAACAAAAAACAAATGTGTGGAAGTGAGAGGGAGGGGTCCAGTAGACCAACCAGAGGACTCCAATGTAGAAGAAACCTGAGAGAACCAGACGACGTAGAAGTTACAGACAGCTCCTTTAGTAGGGCGAGGGCAGCTCAGCACTGGCTGTTAAAAGTTTATTTAGCTGTCCTTGTCATTCTTCCACCGAGATAGCAACACATAAACACACACACACACACACACCTGAGCTGTGACTAAAGGCAGCTCGGCTTTTTATGGACTTCACACGGATCTGTCACTCAGCAGGAGAGGCTGGAAC